ATTGCTATATAAATATATAACTATAAAAATATTGAAAAGAGCATGCACGAAAGAGAAAACCCCATGCAAAAACTATACACAAGATGTACAACAATTAGTCAGCCGGTTGGATGACATTGGGTGTAAACAACAGATAAATAAAATTCTCTGTTGAGTTCATTTATTTCCAAAATTGGGATAAACAATGCTGCCAAAAATATAAATTTATATTTTAACTAAAATTAAGACATGTCGATTGACTTTTTTAGTTAAAGACATGTCGATTTTTTTTTTAATATTTTGTATTGAATTTGCCTAATCTGCTAATTTAATAAAATTGCTATTAAATTAGCAGATTAGGCAAATTCAATACAAAATATTAAAAAAAAATTGGTTACATCGAGAAGTAAGCTAAGTTTCGAAAAATATGAATACAAAATCCAATGGTACACATATTTGGCCTGTTCCTGTACTGCAAGAATCTACTAGATTTTACTATTTTCTTCGATATCATAAAGGAAAATTCGTTATCGTAGTAAAAAGTAGAAAATTCTTGCAGTACAGGAACAAACCAATTTACAACTTCTAGTACCTAAAAACTCATTATGCCACTAGGTAACATTTAGTGTTACTACGGTTTGTCGTATGGCCGTGTGTTGTGTTGTTTATTGTGACTCTAAATCAAATTGCTAAACAAATGAACAATTTCGTGCGATAATAATCCCCTTCCCATATCGATGAACTTAACTCCTATAACCTGATAAAAAACTGTTTCAATCAGTTCAATCGTGACCGACAATCGCTTAGATGCGAAGGACGTTGTGCCACAAAACAATATTTGCCGTGCGAGAAAAGATAATGAAAGAAATGAAAGGCAATAGGTTTCTCTCTATTGGTTCAATGATATTTTGAAGAAAAATATATCGCGATGCTTCAAAAGAAACAGATTGTTACAGGTGTTGAATTATGAATGTGTGCGTTTGAACCCGAAACAAAACAGCCATCGAACGTGTAAGTCTGCGAAGATGAGACAAATCCAATGCAAGTTATTCGTGAAAAAGTTCCTCCAAGCAAATGGTCGACTGGTTCTACAGCAAATTCGACCTGTTCAGAATGTACAAGATAGGACTGTCAATACTGAGTGACAGACTACAATTGGTTCGCCTCTAGTTTTCGAAGAAATTAAAAAAGTACGGGACCACCCCAATTTGGGACCAATGTCGTTATGTTTTTGTAGAAAAAGTTCCTACTTAGTCCGAACCCAAAATACTAAACTACATGTGGTTAGGTTGGAAATGTCCAAAAAAAAACTTCAAAATACGGAATATTTGGACCCATATATCCCATTTTCAATACCAGAACTATCTCCAAAATGCAATATTGGTGGAGGTATTTGGAGAACAACTTTTTAAAGGTTCTTACGATCAGATCTTGTTCGTTATATCGATTCGTTTGAAATATGTGTTCAGTTTAAAAAATAAAGCTGTATTTATATACGGGATATGCCAAAACATCGATTATTATCATTATGATACAGTAGTTTTGACTGACCAGTGCACAAACAACACTTGCAATCATTTCTGTGCAGAAAAGTCAAATGTGAAAATATCTTAAATCCCTTACCTACCTCAAAGCGCACGTAGGTGAAATCCCTGCATGAAAATGGGACAATGTAATTTTTTTGGAATACGTAATGAAACAGAAGCACATTTGTTTTTAGGGTATATATTTATTGCATAAAAAATAACGTCTGTTTCTTAATTTGATATTCCTGTGCAGGTAAATGCTACAGTTTTAGGTAGTCAGGAAAAAAGTGCAAATATTTTGAACTGTTGTACGCTTAAAGAAATATTTGAGAGGGATTCTGAAAAAATACAAAATAAGTGTATTTTGGGCAGCTAAATCCGAAGTGCAGCTATGTACAAGCCAGCTAAATCAAAACTCAATATCAATGTATTTAACAATTTGTTGTTTATTCTCATTATAATACCAACCTCGTTTATTGAATTAATTGGTATTCATATTTTTTATCAGCGTTAGACAAAATTAAGCACCAAGAACAACTTCGTTTAATAATTACGCATATTTTGTTTATTTATGCATAAAATTTAGTTTGTGTTTTGTCTAATCTACACCTGTTTACATTTTACGATTATTTTTTCTAAACGCTGAGATTGTTCTCTTTATTTGCTTGCTTTTTAAGAGCAAACGAATGTCATACTGAGTATGACATACTCACATATATTGTATCATTTAAGTAAGAGTTTAAGAGTTTAAGAAGTAAGCTCCCCCCATGAACAGTTGAGCTCCACAATGGAGAGTAAACAATTAATACAGAGTGCACAATAAAAATAAATAGTGTATTGAACGATTTACTCTTCTCTTTAATGGGCAAAAAAAAACACACATTTGTCAATTTAATTCATGTTATTTTGTTTTTATACGACTATTCGTTAATTGGGAAGAACAAAATGTTTTATTTTATCTTGTTTTATTTATTTTTTATTCAGTTCCCCTGTTTTTTCGAGAGACAGAGAGAGTAACTAACTATCTGTCAGTGAAGAGGTTGTTTGCCGCTTTTTTGTTTATTTGTTGATTCTCATTCCACTTGGAAGTCTTTTAATTCTGTTGGTAGAGTTTAGTTCTTAATTTGTCGGTGACGGTGGTGCGGTAAAAGAATTCCGTTCGTTTTCATTTGTATTTTGCCAAATTTTGATCAATTCTCCACGTGTAACACTTGTTTGAGAGTGCTTTCGCTTTTTAATTCCAAGAAAAGAAATTAGTAAGCGCGACTTTATTTGGAAAAAAGTGCAACACAATAATAAAGTGATTTAATAATACTAAAAGACTACTTGAAGTTTGAAATATTTTTTTGTAGAAAAAGATCACAAAAATAGTGCCGCCATGCCATTAAAAAAGGCTCAAAGTGTACGTAGTTTATTTGTTTGTTACACATGGTTCTTACCTCATGCCAATTATTTAAGGCAGCACGCTCTTCAATGCATTTAATACACTCAAAAATAATTATTAAAAGCATTTCATGAAAATATATAAACATTTATAAAAGAAGTTAAAAATGTGATATTTATAGTATTTATGTGAAGGAATAAACTTAAAACATCTGTTAAACATAACTACAAAATATGACCACGACTTTCAATATTCCGAATACTCAATTTCGGTATTGTAGTAATGGTTAACAAATGCCAACAACTCATCTGTAATGTTTGAAAAATTAATAAAAGCCTAAATTTGGCTTAAGTCAAGTTTAGTACCCCTCGCGAATTGTTTTGACATTTTGACGCATGTAGTTCTTGGGGTCCTGATTACAATGCTATACTTCTTTTCTTTCGGAAAGCAGTATTTCAGGATTTTTAAAATTTTCAATGTGGGTATCAATTTAATGCGTTTGAAGTCCAATTCAAATTAAAAGGAGTTTTGGTTGCAAAGCCGGAGTTGCTATCTGTTCATAGGAGAAAATCTTAAATCCCCGACCGAAGGACAGCTACCCTCAAACACTATTCTAATTAAAAGGAGATTCGGTCACGTAGCCCTAGTTACCATCTGTCCAAAGAAGAAAGTCTTAAATACCCGCCCGAAGGCCGGCTACCCACAAACACCTATATTTGTTCACAATTGAAGAATGGTCCCGCGAAATTTTGGAGACCCATATCTCAGAAAGTATGGACTTATTTGATAAGAATATTATATGTTTGTATTCAGGGATTCAAACGTTTTAAGTTGATACCCATATTACCTTAGAAGTTTTTAAAAATCATGAGAAAATACAAGGGTCCCAACGGAACTTTTTAGGTCCAAATACGGATTTCCGCAAAAAATTATACCATTGTAATCAGGGTCCCAAGTAATACATGCGGTAAAATGTTCAAAACGATCCGCGAGAAGGTCTAAACTTGACTTTTTCCAGCGAACAACTCTGCATCATTCGGAATTCCATGCAATATGAGTATAAATTTGAAACGATTAAAGTCCTGTAGTTATTTTTATGGAGAACTCTATACTTCTTTAGGTATGGGCTTCCAAAAATTTCATTGGGACTTTATATAGTCTTTTTACTATAGACAGATGTCAAAATGGGCAACATAATCATTTACCTTTTAAGACTTTCTCTTATTGGCAAACGGAACTTTTTTTAAATGTAATTGAATGAAGTTCAGCCTCTCCAAATAGATACCCAAATATGCTATTTTAAAATGCATGAAAAAACAAGGAAATATAGATTTCCAGTAAAAAAAGTTAACAGGGCACATAGAACCACTTTATGGTGGAGAATGCTACTAAAAACTTGAAAATAACGGAAATTGTGATGCTATGTCAAAACATGGTCCGCGACTCGGGCTTTAACTACACTTCAGAAGACATTTTTTAGAACAACTGGAAGTACCCAAACGACAGCACCGTTTGCAACACCTTGAAATATTCGTCGAAACCCCCTTAAGGTATATTCTTAATCGGAATAAAATTCTATGTCGATTCGTATGTTTATATCACGAAAGAGATCCTAATATTTAATATAGAACATTCTAACGTATTGCTACCCCTAGAATTTTTGGGTTTCTGGAGGCTGGTACACATATATTATCAATATAGGCCGATGTATGGATACGAGTATAAAGGTCCCCCAATTTTCGGTATTTTGAAGATTTTAACTGCATTTTCTAACTAATGTGGTTATAATTTATTTAAGGATTATGAGGGGTAAACACATTGTTTTTATATAGATCCCATAGAAAGGACCCGTCACATTCCACCAAAGTTATTGTAATTTGGTATATCTGGAATCGTGTCATATTTAATTTTTTTATATGCCTTGCATTTTTTGTATATCAATCCACGAAGAAATAAAAATTGACGCATACGTCATTTAACAATTAACCAATTATTTTTCTCACTTCACAATCTCAGTAACGTTTATTTATCTAATTTATTGATACTATCTACAGACATTATGTTTATTGATAACCATATAATAATTTTAAATTTTCTTCTATATTTTACAGGGTCCCTCGTTTTTAAAACGTGCCAACACCGATAAATTACGAGAAGTCTTCCTTAAGTACGCCTCATATCAAAAGAATGGTGAACATTTTATGACCAGTGAGGATTTTGTGCGAAAATTTTTGGGTCTATTCACAGATGTTGCATTTAATGATGTAAGTATTGCAATAAAAAAAAAAACAAAAGAAAAATCAAATACGATTTGTCTGACGAAATCTTATTTAAATGAAAACAATTAGCAAAAAAAAAACAATAGTTCTTATTTTTGGGATTTTTAAATACAAATCACATGCAGCATCAATTTATTTAAATGGCAGTGGTCCAAATCAAAACGAAAGCGTGTTGATCACACCTCTTTTTGTTTTTATGTTGAATCAATTTGATTTTTATTGGATAATTAACCCTTTGAATGTTAGAAATATCTATTAATGTAAAGATTAATAAAAAATGAATGTTGTCTATGGGTATTTTAACACGTTATAACCTATATAAGTAGTTGTAGGGAACCACCAATACAAAATACAATCGTAAATAAAATACATCGTAAATATATCTGTACAACTCTAATCTATAAACTACAGGAGACCTATTTTATTACCGCAGATTAGAAATAAGAATTAAAAAATATTAATTGATTTTTAATGAATCTTTTTTCAGATTGAATAGATAAGATTGTTTTTGAAAATTTGAATATATTTTAAAAGAAATAGGCTAGTTTCTCAAGTCCTACTAAAATAATGAACTAAGTGCATTTAGTCTCTATGTCTTTTGTATTAATAAAAAAAAAACAATTAATTAAGGTATGAATATAGACTATATCGGTCTGAAAACCTCCATATAAAGGTGCTACTGACCGATTTTAGATAATTTGAAGGCTTTAAAACACAGTAAGGTTGAAATACTATTTTTATTGTACTATTTGTCGTAGATCAATTTTTATGTTAGTGTTGTCAGACAAATGTCATATTCACTAAACTTCGATATAGGATCTTATCGTTCATTTGCTGCAAGACCGGCATAAAACTCGATTTATGTCAGTCTTGCAGCAAATGGGCGATATGTTTTTATAGACACCGTTCGATTTTCGGTATTAGATTAGATTTACCAATTGATTTTTGTTTGTGAATGTAGGTTCACGAGATTTGGTATTTGTTAAGGGACCTAACATAGTTACAGTTGCTGATATACTACTTCGCCTTCTAGGTCGGTTTATGTATATCTGTATTTCCATATAGTATATGTCGAATTTCTCATCCAATTGTAATGCAGTTTTAGGTGAAACATTTATCATGTATTATGTCGAGTCCATTTATAATTCCATTGTAAATAGTGTACAACAAAGTCTACGTCTATTCTTTACACTGAAGTTTGCACAGGGGATGGGCATGATTCTTGAATGTGTAGATTTGAATTAGAAACTTTTTATAACCTCATTTATTCCAATATCTAAAATCAGTCCGGACCTATAAAGAATCCCTTCAGCTCTTCTATAAAAGTTACCTTCATTTTGTCGATAAAGACTCCTTTCGTCTACAATCATAAAAAATTCTTTCAGCTCATCTATAAAGACTCCCATCAGCTTGTCTAGAAGGAATCCCTTTAAATTTCTATAAAGACTCCTTTCAGCTCGTCTATAATGACTTCCTTCAGCTATTCTATAAAGGCTACCTCACTTCAGCTCCTCTAAATGGCTACTTTGGTTATATTTCATCTATTAAAACTGCATTCAGCTTGTCTCTAAAGTCTCACATCTGTTCGTCTATAAAGACGCATTTCAACTCCCTCTTGCTTGTCTATAAAGACTACCTTTAGCGCGTCTATAAAGATTTCCTTCAGATTGTCTAAAAAGACACCTTTCAGCTCGTACATAAAGACTCCCTTCAACTAGTCTATTAAGACTCTGTTCAAAATTGGAACTTTTTATAACCTCCGCACCTTTGCTAATAGTAAAGACTCCCTTCATCTTATTTATAAAGGATAGCTTCATATCATCTATAACAATTCTGATTGAGTACAGCTCGTCTATAAGGACTTTCTTCAGCTGATACATAAAGACTCCCATCAGCTCTTCTATAAAGGATACCTTCACTTCGTGTATAAAGAGACTCCTTTCAACTCGTCTTCACAATCCCTTACAATCATCTACACAAATTATTTCAGCTCGTCTGTAAAGACTTCCTTTTAGCTGTTCTATAAAGGCTAACTCCCTTCAGCTCCTCTATAATTTCTACCTTTTTTTCCTCTATAAAAACTGCCTTCAGCTTGTCTCTAAAGTCTCCCATCTTTTCGTTTATAAAGACTCCCACCTCCCACAATCGCTTCCAATCATCTATAAACAAATTCTTTCAACTAACTCTAGCTTGTATATAAAGACTACGTTCAGATCGTCTATAAAGACTCCCTTTAGCTCGTCTAAAGAGATGTCTTTCAAAAATGTCTTCAAAAGTTCTTTCAGTTCGTCTATAAAGGGTGCATACTATATACTAATAGCGTATGTCTACTCTACATACCTACCTAATCAAGTGCATTTAGAATTTGCATTGTTTTTTAATACCAAAGTCTTAACAAACTAATTTAGGGTTTGTTTGTTTAATATTTTGCATCAAATTAATGATAATTATGTCTAGCTGATATGAAAAAAATCGTATTGATTGCATTTTGTTTTGTAGGTGTAGATAAGAAATTTTATTTGCATTTCCCTTGCTATGATCCGACCGCATACGCTTTCTATATAAATTATGTAACAAATATTTTTTACAATATTGTAATTTTAAAAATTGCAAAAAATTTAAGAATATTACATTATTTTTGAATCCTCTTCTTATGACGTACTACTTCTCAAACCATTCAACACGTCACACAGAGTTGAACTTTTAAAATAATCAGAGGGGGGTCCCGTCATCATTCACCCAAAATCTATGTCAATGACTGTTAAATTTTGAATATTGGTCAGGCTTCAGGTGCATGTTTAGACATCCATAATCAATATTCGATTGATAACACTATCGCCGATTTTAATAATAGAAATAAAATTTACGCGTGAATTGTATCGCGAAATATGAATGGGAATCTAAAATAAAAATGAAATGAAAATAACACTTGTCCGACCTTTAATCCGGATTAAAAGTCATTGCTTGTCGTCGAAAAATTTATAACAACCTATACAAATTTTTATTGTTTTGTTTGCAAACAAACAAAAACAAAAAAATAATTAAACAAAAAAATTGTTCTTGTAAAATAGTTTTGGATCATGGGAGGTGTACTTGCTTATCAGTGAAATTACTGAATAAGAAAGTCAACGAGAAGGTCGTTTGCGTTATCTGCCTAATAAAGGGTTTCAGTTTTTTAAATAAATCATATTTTACATTGTCAATTAAATGATAATTAATATTGTTTTAATGTTCGTTTTGATTTTAGGAATCAGTGCGTTTATTAGCTGGTATTGCCGATACCAGTAAAGATGGTCTTATATCATTCTCAGAATTTCAAGCTTTCGAAGGTCTATTGTGCACACCAGACGCTTTATATAAAACAGCTTTTCAATTATTCGATCGCCAAGGAAATGGAACAGTGTCTTATGGTAAGTTATTCGTACATATATTTAAAAAATCATATTGTTAATTTTGTTTATTTTTTCTCTTTTAGCTGATTTTGCTGAAGTCGTACAAAAAACCGAGCTACATTCAAAAATACCCTTCAGTTTAGACAGTCCGTTTATCAAAAGATATTTTGGTGAAGTAAGTATAAAGTACATTGATAACATCATAGATAATATATTTCCAAGAATGGTTTATGTATTTTATTGAAATAAGCCAAATGAGTTATGAGGGCCTTCTTTTTAAAATGTTGTATGTATAGAAGACATTCAGTCTGCCTATTAAAAACTTCCTGGCATTCAAAGGCACCGTTATTCAGCTCGTTTATAAGACTCCTTTCAGTTATTTTATATGACTTTCTTCAGCTCGTCTATAAATACCATATTCTCCTCGTTTATAAAGACCCCCTTTAGATTCTCCAAAGTACCACATTCAGCTCGTATATAGATACGACTACAAAGACCCCGTCCAGCTCGTCTTTAAAAACTCCCTTCAGTTCGTCTATAAAGACTCCCTTCAGTTCGTCTATAAAGACTCGCTTCAGTTTGTCCGTAAATACTCCCTTTAGCTCGTCTATAGAGACTCATTTCACTTCGTCTACAAAGACACACTTCAGTTCATCTATAAAAACGCCCTTCAAGTCATCTATAAAGACCTCCTTCATAGTCTATAAAGACTCCCTTCAGCTTTCTGCTCGTCTATAAAGACTCCAGTCAGTTCGTCTATAAAGACTCCCTTCAGTTCGTCTATAAAGACTTCCTCCAGCTCGTCTATGCAGACTCCCTTCAGCTCGTCTATAAAGACTCCCTTCACCTCGTATATAATAACTCCCTTCAGCTCGTCTATAAAAACTCCCTGTAAAGATTATTTTTAGCTCGTTTAATAAGAAGTCTACCTTCAGCCAGTCCATGAAGCCTCCATTCAACTCATATATACTCCCTTCAGCTCGCCTATAAATTTTACCATTATCTCGTCTATGAAGACTCCCTAGAGACGACTAAAAAGCCTCTCTACAGCTAGTCTATTAAAACTCCTTTTAGTTCGTTTATAAAACTCCGTCCAGATCGTCTATAAAGACTCCTCTCAGTCCGTCTATAATGACACCCTTAAGTTTTTCCGTAAAGGCTCCCTTCAGCTCGTCTATAAAGACTCCCTCCTGCTCGTCTATAAAGACTCCCTATTGCTCGTCTATAAAGATTCCTTTGAGGTGGTCTGTATTATTTATTTTTTTTATTTTATAATTTTAAATATTTACTAATTTTTAATCTTCATCTTCTCTTATTTTTCAACAGAAAAAACAACGTTTAATTAATTACGCTGAATTTACTCAATTACTTCATGATTTCCATGAAGAATATGCGATGGAAGCATTCCGTAGCAAAGATCCAGCTGGTTCTGGATATATTTCCCCCTTAGATTTTCAAGATATTATGGTTAAAGTGAAAAGGCATTTACTCACAGCCGATGTTAAAGATAATTTGGTAGCGGTAAGTAAAATTAGTAAACTGTTCTTGTTTGCCGATTGTTTGCGTCATCAGTTGTGTTCATTCGACAGTGGTACTGCCACTGCCTTGCGTTTGAACATTCTCTCTCTATTTCACATAATTCATATTGAACCAAAAACCACAAAAACACAAAACATCCGATTCTTGATTCTTCCAGGTCACCGAAGGCCATAAGGTAAGCTTTCCATATTTTATGGCTTTCACGTCGTTACTAAATAATATGGAATTGATAAAACGCATCTATTTACATGCTACACAAGGTAATCGCACAGAGCCCGTTACCAAAGATGAACTATTGTTTGCCGCTCAGACAATGAGTCAAATAACCCCATTGGAAATTGATATATTATTCCAATTGACGGGGGCATTGCAACAGTCGGGGTAAGTTGAAAAAAAATATTCACAAACTTTTTAAAGAAAATTAGTATAAAAATCTAGAATCATGTAGTGAAGAATTATTAAAAAATAAATGTTTTTGAATTAAAAAAAAAAAATCGAAATTCATAACCTGAATAAATTTAAAATCTTAGTATTGAACTCATCTCTCCATTTTATATAAAATTTTACAACCAAGTAATTAATTGTTTGTAATTTTGTTCTTATATAATTTTTTTGTCTTCCCTTCAAAATTCATTATTACAAAAATAAATCTCATTAACATATTTATAAACAAAAAAATGTTCATCCGCTACACAAAAAAGTTGGTGGAGACGTAAAAAAATCCAAGCAAGTAGGCAAGTGTCATAAAACAAATCTATTTGTTGTTGTGATTTGATTTTGCACAGTTTTTTCTTCAGTTTTTTAAATTATGATTTCAAGCTATTTTTCTTCCATATACACCAGACTTTGAGTTCTATAACCCTTCCCGTGAAGTCCTTACCGGTTTTATTTTTTCTCGTTCATTTAGCTATTTTAATTATTAGTTTTTAATTGGTTTTTTTAAATAAATAATTGAATTAATTTATTTCTACACTTTTTTCTTGCAGTCGCATAGTTTATAGCGATTTAAGCATTATCGCTCCAGAACATTATACAAAGCATATCACCACAAGATTGGCCGAAATTAAGGCAGTCGAAAGTCCAGCAGATCGATCAGCATTTATACAGATTTTGGAGAGTACCTATCGTTTTACATTGGGTTCATTGGCTGGTGGTAAGTAGAAATAATAAAAGGGTCAAATTTGCCAATATTTGAAATTTGTGAAACTGTAATATGTAGCCTTGGGGAATATGATATAAATTTAGCGAGGGAATGTTTCGTATTTTGAAAACTCAAAATGGTCCTGCTCGTTACTCAATATTCCTTCTGATATGATTACTCAATTCAGCTCGTCAACAAAACTCACTTCAATTCGTCTATAAAAACTCACTTCAATCCGTCTATAAAGACTCCCTTCAGCTCGTCTATAAAGACTTCCTTCAACTCGTCTACAAAAAGACCCCTTCAGCTCATCTATAAAGACTCCCCTCATCCCGTCTTTAAATACGCCCTTCAGCTCGTCTATAAAGACTTCCTTCAGCTCGTCAAAAAAACTCACTTCAATTCGTCTATAAAGACTCCCCTCAGCTCGTCTATAAAGACTCCCTTCAGCTCGTCTATAAAGACTCCCTTCAGCCGGTCTATAAAGACTCCCATTCAGCTCGTCTGTAAAAACTCCCTTCAACTCGTCTATAAAGACTCAAATTCGGCTTGTCTATAAAGACTCAAATTCAGCTCGTCTATAAAGACTTAAATTCAGCTCGTCTACAAAGACTCAAATTCAGCTCGTCTATAAAGACTCCCTTCAGCTCGTCTATAAAGACTCCCTTCAGCTCGTCTATAAAGACTCCCTTCAGCTCGTTGATAAAGACTCCCTTCAAGTCGTCTATTTAGACTCCATTTAGTATATTTATAAAGCCTCCCTTCAGTTTTTTTATAAAGACTCCCTTCAGCTCGCTTTTAAGGACTACCTTTAGTTCCTCTATAAAAACGCCCTGTAGCGCGTCAATCAAGATTGTCTTCAACCCATATATAAATACCCTCTTCATCTCGGTCTGAAAAACTAATTTCAGTTCATTTATAAAGTCTTTATTCAGGTTATCTAAAAAGATCCATTCAGCTTGTCTATAAAGACCCCTTCATGTCGCCAAGAAATCCGTTCACCAGAATCCCTTCATCACGTCTATAAAGACTCTATTCATCAGGTTCCCTTTATCTAGTCTACATTATGACTCCATTCAGCTCCTCTATATAAATACTCCGTTCAGCTCTCCTTTACAGGCTGCCTTCAGCTCGTCCATTGATAGACTTTTCATCTAGTCCATAAATACTCTCTTCAACTTCATATGGGGTTTTAAAAACATCACCAGATTAAGTCTTTCATAAATGTCCGTTTCAATTAAAATTAATATAGAAAACGATATATAACCGTTCTAAAAGTAATCAATGTATTTTCCCTCCTTTTACAGCCGTTGGTGCCACTGTCGTCTATCCCATCGATTTGGTAAAGACACGTATGCAAAATCAACGCACAGGCTCATTTATTGGTGAAGTGGCCTATCGAAATTCCTGGGATTGTTTTAAAAAGGTACATATTCTCTCTCATTTTTACATTTTCATAATATAATTTAATAATTATTTTCAAATAACTTCTCAGGTTATCCGTCACGAAGGTGTCTTAGGTCTATATCGTGGTCTATTGCCACAATTAATGGGTGTAGCGCCCGAAAAAGCCATTAAATTGACTGTCAACGATTTGGTGCGTGATAAATTTACCGATAAACAAGGTGTCATCCCCCGATGGGCTGAAGTTTTGGCCGGTGCATGTGTAAGTTGTTTGTACTTCAATAATTATTTTAATTTCTTACATTATATGGATTTTGGTTTTGTTTTATTTTTCATTTAGGCTGGTGGCTCACAAGTGGTATTCACAAATCCCTTGGAAATTGTTAAAATTCGTTTACAAGTTGCTGGTGAAATTGCTGGCGGTGGTAAAGTTCGTGCCTTATCCGTTGTCCGTGAATTGGCCTGTTTATTGCGTGATGTACC